CTTAATTAAACCGGCGTGAAACTTGCGAGTGAATTTCTCGTGTTGCAGATTTTGTAACCCCGCGAAACGAGGTCCGGTTCTAAAACAACGAAATTGGGTAACACCGATCTGTTACATGATCTAACATTTCCAGCATGACTTTCGCAATGAGTCGACGGATGCATACGTTTAAATTATTATACTGACTGTATGCTATATGCATTTAACCATCGCTCGAGAGAGATGGTACATTAGTGTAGTACAATCGTCGATCGACCGCTTGAGTATCTATTAAATTATTTCCCTCGTTTTATTGATTATCTGCGTATTTTCGATGCTCCGTCCGCATTGAATATTCTGGATGGTTATCGTAACTTGCATTGCATTGAGAACAGCGATACAATTCAGTCCCAATGCGTTTCATTGCATGAATGCGTGGCAATTATATTATGGAATAAAAGAGCGAAGAGATAAACGACTGTTGTTGCGTGTAAGAAAGAAATTTAAACAGAATTCTCGACAACGTTCTATATAAATATAAAATTCTTTCATATATTTTTCGAGTTTACAAATAGAATGTTCGTCAGAAATATCGAGACAATCTAAAAAACTAAAACGATTGTTATTTTTATCGATGATTTTTGTCGTTTTTGATAAAGATCTTTCATTTCCGTTAAAACAGCAGGAAAAACTGGAAAAACTTGACTGACTTTAAATAATTATAGGAATAATAAAGCTAGGAAATATGAATGCATAGAAATTATTCTTATGTTTACTTGTACGTATAAATAATAATTTAGTTACAATAAACCAAGATGTAAAGAAGGACAAGAATAATAGGTTTTATACATTCTGATAGATAGATAAATGCGTTTATTAGAAAGGGGAAAATTCTAGGGCGTCCGGTATATAAGAACACGTTGCAGCATTGAAATTAAGAGCACAATAAAACAAAGGCACATAGTGAACGCGAGATAAAGTGAGAAATTAGAAAATATACAAAATAAAGATAAAAGTAAATAGAGAGAAGAGAGAAGACGTGGAATATTCGTTATAAGTATCGTCGTAATTTTCAACTGCAAACTCGTTGATTTATTTACGATCTTCCGTGATGAAAATTTATTGGTTGAAAGCAAATGAATTTACTGCGACGTCCTTCGACGCATTCATAGGATTTGTTCGAATCGCTAACAATACCAACCATCCATCCGCATTCCGGTTGCCGAAGGGCAAGAAACGGGACACGCATTTACGATTGCGTAAAGGAAATAAAAAACGTCGTTTAGGAAGTCGATCTTGATTTAATCCAATCGAGCGCCGCAGTTGGCACGTCGCGGTTGGTTATCGATACGAATTGTCACAGAGTCATCCCGCTCGCGTGTCCATTCGCAGCATAACGATGAATCCGCGCAAATCGCTGGCATCCCGGATGCGTCGTCACGCATTCCACCAACTACGGAGTCACACCGTCAATTGTCCATGGTCAGTCGATATAATCGCGCACAGTTCGCACGTTCGAGTTTTTTTTATCATACAGGCCGGATTGAACGATTCCGCGAGAGAACTTCGCGCATTCGAACTCCACGGCCTATAAAGGTGAAAAATGTTGCACGGTACGCGCACATTTCGCTTAAAAAGTGCATCTCTTTGAGTTATTGTTAGTGGGTTGATTCGCATCAACTCACGTACCTCGCGGTATTAAAAAAAAAATGTATATAATATATTGTTCATTTGTTACGACACAATTAAAAAATTGTCATTTTTTTTAGTTGCTTGTAAAAAAAGCAAAAACATAAAGAAAAAAAAAGAGCGAAAGAACGTACTTTTATTTCTCTATAGTCAGTTATTACATCAAAATTGTATTTCAAAATTAATATTACAGAATTTTAATGATTCAAAATATTCAAACTTATTTTCTGGAAAACTTCGTTTCTTGAATTATGTCGTTATTTTAGCAAATAAGCGATATATTCATCCTTCTAATTTTATTGGCAGACAATATGAAGTAAGTGAACCGATTATTGATCCAAAACAAAGTGTAACAGAATAGAATTGCAATGAAGATAACCGGGAACGGAGAAATAAACTTCCGAAGCATTATAAAAAAGAAAATAGTTCGTATTTTCCAAAGAGCGATTTGCCCGCCGATTATTTTCGCATACGGAATAAAGCACTTTTGAAATCTTTTATCATTCTCAGCGCAAAGTTATTCCCGTCGGAGAAGTTACAACATTTCGCGATATTCTATGCATAATAAGATCCTCATTTTAGCTTTATTGCTCATGAATTTCTCAATTGCGTAACCCGGATGTTCTACGACAGGTTAAAACGGACCAACTCCATAAACGTTTTGCTACGTTGTAACATCCACTTATGATGTAAAGTACATAAATAAAAGAAGCCATCTGTGGTTCAACGAAACCTATATGCAGCGCACAGGTATTTAAGGATGTAGTGTAATCTTAGTATAATCTTCAACTCTTAGATATTCTCGCTTCTACGCGAATGAGTTTATGAGTCGCTCCGATAAATAGAGAAAATCTCGGCTATATCAATCTGCAAATATGGTCCGATCGTGACTGAGGAACGGAATTTCAAATCGCGCGCGATGTCTTTATCATCACATATAGTCGGTGAGAGTCGCGCGCTATCGGTCCACACATTCTGCGGATTGAATACCGTCTATTATGCGCAAAGTGCGAGAGGAGTTTCCTGCTGCGCCCATATGGCATCGCGCCGGGTCGTTTGCATTCCCAGCGTCAGTCTGAGCGTGAACGCAGAATTAAACCATGAACGATCGTCACACAACAGATCGGACAGATATTCCACCGATTCGATCGTCGGGCAAATGCCAGACGTGCGTGTAGCAGCGTAGTCCGATGCGGATTCGCGCCATTTATTCCCTCGTGCGCGTTCATTGTCCGTTGAATCACCCTGGTCTCTCTACAAGTCCGCGATGATTCGCCAATATGCATTCCACATCGATTGAATTCCAGGTGATCGCTACCGATTTTCCCAACGATAGACAATCGACTCTCATTCCATTCTTTCTATCGCGGGAAACCTCTTCGTAAAACGATTCGTTGCGAGAGAGAAAAGAAAATAGGAATCGCGTTGCGCGATTGCATTCGATGCGTAGCCGATCATCGCCGCGAGCTGGTTTCCTAGGTGTCTGTGAAGTTAGCACAGCATTTTATTAATTTAAAAATAATGATTGTTCCGGTAGCACTCTCCATTGTTCTACTGTTTTTTTCAAAAATAACAAAATGCATTCTGCATTTTTAATATCAAAAAATCAAAAATAAATAAATGCCGTGCTAACTTCACGTTCCAGCACGACATAACTTCCTCTAAAAGTAGAATCAGATGCCAGAAAAACGTGTAAAAATTTCATTCTAGCACGGCGTTTGTTTATTTTTGATTTTTTTTACATTAAAAATACTGAACATTTTATTATTTTTAAAAGAACAGTATAATAAAAAGGAAAGTGCTACCGGAACAATCATTATTTTTTTGAAAACTAATAAAATGCCGTGGGTAACTTCACAGATACGTTTCCTAGCTCAATGATAGCTCACAGCTGGCCGGAGTCTTACGTAACTAAACACATACTAGCCCGGTTGCGGAGGTTGACTTAATTGCGCTTGATAAATTGTCTTTTCCTCTCTCTCGTCGTCTGTCTCGTCAGTTTGTTCTCAAACGCAATAGCGCAATAGCCTACTGCCACTTCCCTTCCGTCACGCGTTTCCGTTCTGCCTTTCGTCCTGTGTGTCTGTCAATTTCATTCCGTACTATTCCCATGTTCACTGCATGCATCCGGCATGGCGAAGACTCGCCAGCATGAGATTCGATCGTCAAAGTTTCGAGCCTACATCACATGCAGGATCCCTTGCATTTCACATATTCAAAATTTCATTTTCACATAAATTTTCTTTACTCTGAAGTAAGGAAATAATTTTGAGAGTGTAAAGCTTTTAGGAAAATAGACGGAGTCTCGCATATATAGATGTTAACTCTAGAATTATATGGTACACATCGACTCCACGTTTCTCAGACCTGGTCGAATTTTAATCAACGTGCATATTGATGACATTGTTTAATAATTTATTATATTTAATAATATATGAAACTTATTACATTTAATTATAGTGTCCATTATTTCAATTTTACAACAAAATATCAATTGTTAGATATCAAAGGAGTAATGGCAACTCAATCTCTTGAGTTAAATAACATTTTATTATTTTTAACTTCCACAAAATGTAAATCAATTCTGTGATTAATATAAACAACGTCCAATATTAACATAGCATGTAGTAAATAATAAACTAAATGTAAATCAAATTTAATACATTTACTCGAATTAAATTGTTTAATTCCATAGTATTAAATTAACCTATAAAAATTATTAAAAATAATTCAAATTGAATATAATTTGGCATTATAAATTCAACAGTGTACACAATAAGACCTGTATTCTTTGACGTAATTTTAACTACAATATTTCCTTCCTATTTAGCTCTTTACTATGCGGTGCAAAACTACGCTTAAAACATAATAATCCGGCACAGACACTTAATTTAATATAATTACACTTTATACTGTGTAAATCCTATTCAATTCGATTTGTGTTTATACAATTGATCGTAAAATCTTAAGAAAACGTATATCATTTCGTGCATTTTTCACTTATGACTGGTAACGGCTGACTGGCTCGCCGAGGGCGAGCGATAAAAGTTACGATAGATATTACTCAATCCGATATCCATGCTAGTTTCTCATATATTTTTCTCATCTTTCCTATTCAAGCGAGACAGACGTTTCCTGAACGGCCCCATACCGATTCCTCGCAATCCAAGGATGCTTGCGAGATTTCACCGCATATACACGCAAGGCTCAATTAGTCTCATGTGAAATCTTCCTTCGAGTCTAACTTGCGTACTATAATAAAGATTTCTTGGAACATATATACGTAATGATATGATACATAGAATTTTCACGAGCATATTTCTTTCTCGCAGCGTCCGGTTCGGGATCCGTGATAGGCAGAGACCCGCTTCCGCCGAGAGCCGTCAGCACGTCTCATCTGCCTCAAAGAACGCTGACTCAACCACCGACGGCGGTGTCTACTCTTTCGCTACCGAGAAACACTACCGGCAGTAACCATCGGCAACAACCGCTTCCGCTCCATCACTCGACTCCGCAGCAACAGCAGCAATCGCCTATGAGACAGCTGGAGAACGAGTCTACCGCCCATATATTGAGAGCCGCCAGCAACGGCGACATCGGCAAATGTCCCGGCATGTAAGTAGACTCAAAGCCGATCCTCCCAGGTATTTGTATAACGAAGTTTCGGTGTACTGTAATTAAACCGCCGCCCCTATCGCACCCCGTAATAGAGAAACTTATTAGCGAACACATACTCGCGCGACCGCAACCTTGCCGTCTAATTCTGCTACCTAAGTTGCTCGACTGTTTGGTTACTTTGAGATGGTAACTAGTAGAAATGCCGCAAGCAACCAAATGTCTGTACTCTTGTATATCGCGTCTGAAAAGATCACACATTCGATTCTAGAGTAATAAGTATTACAACACAGAATTATTATATTACAATTAAAGGCACAACCCTGAAAACTCTAATCTCATTCTACCGCTTTTATAGCAAAATTATTCAACTAGTATGTCGAAACAAAGTGCAGAGAACAAGAGCATAAATTAATCGTCATAAAACGCAGTAGCGCGTGCACTTCCACCTAAACACAACACGATTAGCTATCGCCCGATTTAGTTCGTATATAACTTCGCTATGTATTATAGATTCGTTCATTTAAGTCACTGTTTAATTACTCGCCGTTTGTGCAAACAACAACGCGCTGCTGTTCGTTTGTTGCGAAATATACAACCGATCAAATTTCCTGTGTGTTCTTGACAACTTATAATGTGACGATTGTATGATTATGTTATGTAATTACAGTAATTAATTTAGTTTCTCGTGTAATGGCAAAATTATTATAATTATATTATTATATTAATATATATATTATTATAAATATATGCTCTTAAAATTTATTAAAGGATTTTTACATTCTTTCCATTAAGTTAAAAAAAAAAAAACATTTTTTGTCTATCTAACGCAAATATTTTTTAAAATAATGCTATGCGATTTTAAAATAATGCAATAATTTTATCATTTCAAATTTTCATTCTCGTGAAAAGGCTAGCTATAGACGTCATTAATTAGACCGAAGGGCGGTGCGATGTCATAATCGACGTAAGAACTCAAGCTCACCGAGGTTCTATTTATTGCCAGGCATGAGCTAAACGCGTCACCTTAATAATACAATTTTCTCGTATGTATTTGTGTCGCGGTTTACCTCCACGGCAAATCTAATTTCTGCTGTATCGTAACCACGTTTATTTGTTTCGGATGGTAGACATTGATTTTTCTCGTGATTAATCGACAAGACTCCTGTCGCTATAATTTTACGTAAGATAATACGAGTGTCGTGGTATCAATTTAGAATCATGAAACATCGATTCGGAAACTGCCAATATTTACTTAACGTGTTTAATAGCCATAAATTCATAACGTTAAGGCCGGAACACAGACCTTTGGATGACGCATAATACATAAAGCATAATACATAAGAAAATCAACCAATTGGAATCTTTTATTTTCATAGAAAAAAAAATGAAGGACTTTGATTGGTTCATTTTCTTATGCATTATGCGTTATGCGTTATGCAAGACCCTGTGTTCCCGTCTTTGTAGACTGCATTTTTAGATATCAAAGAAGCAATGGCAACCCAATCCCTTGAGGTAACATTTTGTTATTTCTAACTTCCATGTATGTCAAAATGTAAATTAATCCATTTCTGTAGTTGTTTTTAAACTACAGAAAAAAAAATAATAATATTAATGTATATTTAATAAATAATAAACTAAATTTGAATAAAATAAATCAAATTTAATACATTCTCTTGAATTAAATTGTTTAACTTCAATGATTGAATTAAATTGACATAATGATTAAGAGCAATCTATAGAAATGATTAAAAATAAGGTATAATTTGACATTTATGAATTTAATAGTGCAAAACGAATTTTTGGGAACCACTGTATCAGAGCATCATATTTCCTTTTAAAACGTTCAGCGATTTAACTTTCTCTCACAGCTTCTTTCTGCATTAGGTCACTTTATGGCATCACTTCAAACGTGGCCTTCTATGAATCGGCCCATTGACCTGTTCGTCAAATTTCAGGGTTATCGGTAATGACATGAGGGACCTGAGGTTAGCATCGCCGAGCGGTCATTCCACTCAGCGATTGATCAGCCCGATCGGACATTTGCGAGTCACTTCGTTAAACGACCATCGTGTTTCCAGTCCCAGCGACAGCGAGATACGCGTGCACAGTCCAAGTAAGTTTTCCTTTGTACTATATTTATTAATCTGCCCGATACTTTTCACGGTTTCCACGGTAACTTTTCGATGAGGCGACCCATGAATCTAGCAGGTGGCGAAGCGATTAATTGGCGACGGCTAACTCCGAAGAATCCGGCTTTATGAAAGAACTCAAACTTTTGCCTCGAACTCGAAGTTGATTAAGGTGCAATTAATATATTGTTGGTCGTAATATACGAATCGCTATCGCGACGGCAAGTTTGACAGCTAGGAAAAAAAGTTACGACGTCGACTAGGTTGTAATACCGTCTCCGAGCGAAAGAGTTACGACTTTCCTCCTTTTTGTAGCAAAGCACACAAGAGTACAAACGCTAATTAATGACGCTGACGAAGACAATGCCAAAGGTAACAACGTTCACGTTGTTCATAAAATGATCCTTCAACGTACCGGGCACATTGCGCTATGAAATTAATGGCTCGCTAAGCGCGCTAATTAATCAGATTTTTTTCAAAGTATTCCCGATAAATTTTCGTAAAATTTCGCGTATAATTATTATCTCAATTTCGTGACACAAATTTTGCGATACGCAGTGGAGAAACATCTTGATATTGCAAAAGATTTTTGTTCGAAAAAATAATATTCTATTTGAAAACATATACACTAAATAAGCACAAGCTTATAAAAATTAGTTTCTTTTGCCTTATTTTTTGTTATGTAAAAAATATATATTAATTTATTAAACATTACAATTTTTTTCAAAACAGTCGTTTCGATTATCCTCAGCGATAATAATAATAAGCGATAATAATAAAACTTATTTTATGTTTTATGTTCAAATGATGATCAAGTATTTTACATCATTTCGCAGCATTAAATTCGTTAAATTGTGAAATTGATTAAATTGATTTGGCCTCCAATTGCCATGAGCAAAATCAGCCTGAATTGTGAAATACAATTAATAAAATCTGCAGTCATACATAACGTATGAAAGACAAAAATATAAAAATGTGGAACGAGTTGTCACTAATGTCAGATATATGATTGGACTTTGTTATTATCATCGTCACTGAACATCTATATCATCGTTGAAAATATCCCGAAATGTGTTAAAACGTTCCTTTCCGAAGAAATTGTAATGTTTAATAAATGAATATAATAATAAAAGATAGATCTAATAAAATAATTGCATTCCAAGTACCGTGCGGTATTCTTATTGTCTAAATTGTTATTTTTAATATCGAGAATCCATTAATATGTATATTACATTTTATTATAAAATATAGTATGTGCATAAATATTATTATAATCTACGTAATATATTACTGCAGCAAATCTCTATCTCTAATATTCGAAGCTGGTCTCTAATCCGGCTCGTTTGAAACGTTTGGTTCGTGCGAACTTACGAATGATGAACAGAGCCTCGCTCGGCGGATGAGCGATTAATACCCGCGAGATTAAGCGGCGATTTAACGTCTGCTCTGAATCGCGAGATTGCCGAACCGCCTGAAAAGCGCATAAATTTAGGTCGAGAATTTCAGCGGGCGCCTGGGGTTAATTACCCGAGGATCCGTGGCAGTGATGTCCTGGTAAGGTTTGTGTGCCACCTATCTAATGCACAACGTGGAATAATGGAAATCCCGTGTGTGCCTCCGTACGCCCTGTCTAACTACGGAAAGGTACGCATGATCGATATCGAGTCATCCAACCACGGAGGAACATACGAATTGAGGTTGCACAATATTATCGCGCGAATGGGGCGGCTTTATGGAGAATCATAAGAGAAATCATAATTACACTATTCATTATTCCTTTTTAATTAAAAAAAATTGTAAATTTGTAACGACGAGCATTTTGAAGAATAAGTGATACAATTTCAGCCAATTTTCTTTCTTCCCCTTGACTGCGTTTGGAGAATCGAATACAATTGATGAATCGAATCTGATTGATCGAATCTGATGCTAAGAAAATTGGAAAAAATATTGTAATTTTTTTGGAAATACGAACGGTGCTCCTGGATGATATCTCCTAGCAAATATCTTCTTCAAAAAAGAATAGAGGAAACACCGCAATCTAAATATCACGGTTCACCAAGAATTTTCTTTGTGCAATCCGATTGTATCTGTATAGGTACAATAGCTGCGCAATTTTCTGCGTTAGACAGAAGTCCGTGCTTCTCCATTTTACGACGCGTCTAACGGTCGCAGCTGCAGAACATTTCTGTAGACATTTGAATATCCTATACAAGGCGTCCCAGATCCATTATCGTTCAGTCCAGCCACAGATTGTCGAGTCAGAACAAATATGCTAATATCCATAGATCTTTTAAAAGATATTTAAAAAACGAACGAAACTGAATTTATGATGAAAAAAAATGTATAATTTAATCGCTGAAATATAATATAAAAAAATCGTTAATTTATTAAATTCTTGCTAAGAAAGAATTCTAAGATTCCTCAGAGAAAGTCTGTGGCAATCTGTGGCTGAAAATAATGCCTGCGATATATTATCCTGTAACGGATGCAACATCATAACGAAAGGCAGTAGCTCCGACAGTTCCGGCGCAGTTAAGTCTTTTAAGCAGTTAAGGCGCAAATACAAACGACTACCATTCACGTGATTAAAGAGAAAGTCAATCTGCTCGGTCGTTATTACAATTTTTTTCACTATTCCACTATTCTGAATCTGAGACTGCAAGCCAAAGCAGGGGAGGAAGAACAAAGAAAAAAAAATCTTCGAGAAAATCAGTCGATTTCGATATTTCCGGTTTCATAGATCCTTTCGCTCGTTACGACACGCTCAGAACTACGCGACTTCCTCTTCCAGCGGCTTTCTCCTGCGTAACTTATCTTCCTTTCTGCTCGCAGGCGAGAGAAAAATGATGAGCCCGATCGGCAGGGAGGTCGACCGCGGCGGAGGCACGATGACGGGTCCAAGACAAGGCCAGCAGCGACCACGCGCAGATTGCAGCGAGCTGCTGCATAAAAGGGTGAGTAAATGCGACGGGCAAGTCGCCTTAACACCTCGGTGCGAAAGAGCGCCCCGTCTAGAAAAGAGCTCTATTTATAAAAGAGTAGTGTAATCATTTCATCTGAGCCGAATACTTAGCACAACTTTCCTATTGGCTATTTCGACCGCCATTTTTAATTTGATGGTCTAACATCCAATAGCGCTTAGTAATTCTTTAATACGATATGTGATTGCAGCAAGCTTTCCAGCAAGCAACACAGTGTGATACTGTGATCATGTCATTTTCATTTAACATTAGTATAAAGAACAAGGATGTAATGATTCATTGTGTTACACTGTGTCATCTGTATCTCTTACTGGAAAACACCCATAATTATTAGGATAAACATGGCAGACCTTTACACTATTCTTTACATATAGAGCTCTAGTCTAGTGACCCTCCAATAAGAGTCTGGACTCGAGTCGCAATTTTGTATGCAGAGTGGTAGTTTTAACAAAAATCTGCGAGAGTGAAGGACATATATTTGCTACTTCTTCCCTTTCTCTCTATTCTGTTCTATTTTTTCCTAATTATTTCTTTCTCTCAGGAATTGTTAAAACAAGGCGAAAACAAATCAAAAGTGGCTTTCTCACATCCAGACTTTTATTAGACGGTCTCTAGTCCTGTCGATCCCGATTGGCATGGCAGAGCATGATGGATGGAGAGAGGAAATTCGCGCGTCCATTCGCGGCATCGATCGTGCAACGGTCGCGCGCGTGAATTAACCATGTCGTCGTCGCGGTGGCCAGTCACCGCAAACGGGAAATTTATAGCTGGGGAACGATTGCGAACGCGCACGCTTCGTAAAAGTGTCACCTGTATCACGCACCAAGTCTCGCCGATGGCTGACATCCGACGGCGATTCGGTTCGGTTCCGCGGTGAAGTCTAACATTCTCGCAAATTGCTTGTGGTTTGTTTACGAGCGTACGGCTTACTCTCTCGCTAATCCTTCAGCTCGTAAAAATAAATTACGTATACGTGTAGCACGGTAGCGCGTCCACGACGTGAGTTTATTGTCCATATAAAAAGGCGACGAGCTTGAAAATCCCCGATTTATATAATATTGGTGGATCGAGTTATCGCGCCAAGATCAAATTACCGGAAACAAAATGGCGAATTCTTCTGCGAACGTTGCACGATCGACGGTTTGTCATTTTACTGCTTTTATCTATAACTGTCTCTTTGTCTCTTGTCATGCAAACACACACGCTATCCGTTTTATTGACGTGGCATAGCCTGCATATCATCATCGCAGCATGTAAATTCCATTAGCTCAATTAATTAAAATGTTGCCCCGAGAGAAAGACAGAGAGAGAGAGAGAGAGAGACTCTCACCTTCGTACGTGTTATATGCACAGTATGCATCGCGTTGTAAATGGAATTGATAATATTTGCGCTTATGGTATCGTGCGCAATAAATGCGAGGCGAATTATTTTCATCGGCGCTTTCGACTTTTCCAAGCGAAAAATAATTCTGATGAGGTTATTGCTGATGAATTTTTCATTATTTACAAAGTATCACATTGATCCATGTGATCCTGAATATGAAATAGGTCATCATTGTTGTTTCGTTAAATGCATTAGGTCATGATCTTGCAATCAAAACTTAATGAAAATCAATGAAAAATGAGGCCAGGTGTCGATCGAGAATTGCATTGGGATTCGGTGATTCGTAATAACAGTATCGGTAACGTTATATTTTTGTTACGTTTTTATCATATATAATATCTATACTAAGAGAAAAATATTTAATATTTGCATAATTGCGAGGTAAAATAATTATGGGTTAGGAGCTTCATTTTATTTTTATAATTATTACTGCTATAATGTTAGTAATAACCATACATGTAGTTGAAACGTGAAAAAGTTACACTATAAATTATAATTTGAAATATTAATATAGTAAATTATTAAGATAGAATGTAAATGATAAATAAATGAACATTTTTATTCAGTAAACGCAATTATAATTATAGTGAATATAATTATTTTTTTTAATTCATTTACTACGATAAATTTATATGCTAATAATAATAATTTAAAAATATGTTAGAAAAAACTAAACATTTTCAAGCAGTATATGTAACCGTTCTTTAATATCATAATTAACTATATTTGCCTGATTGAAATAATTGTAAATATATAGTTGCCCCCAAAAAAAGACTAAAAATTATAGTTAAATTATAGTAATTGCTATTTTTTATTTCTCAATGTTCACAACGATAATACAGCCTTTAGCCTAAAAATATTAGACACTTATATTTTTTTCATTCATCTCGAAATCTTTTTTTACCTGAATTGTTACTTATTAATTAACAGCATTATACATTAAGTTTAAAAGTTAACCTTAAAATTAGGAATAATTAAGATAATTTATAACAAATGCCATAAGTTCATTTTTTAATTAAAACTTTAAACAATGGTTAATAAGATACTTAAAATTTTAATATAACGATATCGACAGTATTATTAAGAATTACAGAATCTCAATATTGAGCAGAACTTCGAGAACTCTTTTGTTTCGCGATCACATTAAAATAACGAAGAATCTAATGAATCTAGGATTGCACTTTACATCTTTTTTCAAGTCATTTCTTTAGTGCATAGCGTCATAAAATTCTAAGCGTGGCTTGAGGAGTTTTACAAGTTTGTGTTACAAATAATCCTGTTAGACGATTCTTCGACACGATTTCACGACCTGTTCCGCAACAACGAATACTTAGATTCAATCAAGAAACGGATTTTTCACCCTGTGAACGGCAAATTCGGACGAGAACCCATCGTTTTCTTAACTCGAGCTTATCTTAAACGCGCAGAACACGAGAAGGCAAGAAAGTAACGACCGAGTGTCGTCGTCCTGGCGCCATTACATACAATGGAGTGGCGAAGGGCGGCAAGAGGACTAGGACGAAAGGGGAGGGCGAGGGAAAGAGAAAGAAAGGAGAAGCGAAGAGAGCGACGGAGACGGCAGAGAAAAAGACAAACGAGAAACATGGGGTCCAGGGTCGATCCTGCATACGGTCAGCACCGGTCAGCAAGGGCACCGTGCCAAGGAACTGCAGACGAGTCTTAAGCTTCGTGCACAATGGATTTCGCCGTCTGAGCATGATGGCACGGCATTCATCCTTCTACACGAATTCATCGTTCCTCACGACGAATCTTATCGTAGGAGAATAGCTCTGACATAATATGTTATTTATTACGGCAATGTAGGATTTGTGAAAAACCATCTGTAAAGTGGTGGCACTGCATACAATGATTGCGTCAGAAGCTGGCGAAATAAGCCATCAAGATTCTCCAATTTTTACAAGAATACTTAATTTCTCCTCTTTCAACAGCGCTTCAGATTAAAAGAATACACGAAAGGACAGTTTTGCTGAAGTATCTAACAAATCTGAAAATATTGTCGAAATTGAATTGTTGAAATTTTGTCGAAGCATCAAAATAATTATGTAGGACGCTCAAACTATTAGAATATTAACATTTTTTGTAACATTGCTCATCATGTTTCAGATTCCCGCATTATTATTTTACTTAATCCAATAAAATTATTTTCAAATTTGTATCTAGCTAAATTTTTAAACACTTCGGTAAAATCTTTTTTTTCTATGTAGCGTTCGAAAATCAATTTACGTCTCGAGTTTTAGCTTATTGTCGACCACTACCCAACGATCATATTACAAAATACAAAATACAAAAGTCGCAAAATATCATTTCTTCCCCCTTACCAATCGAACCATCACAATAACGTTAAACCGCGAATCATCTTCCCGCGTAAATCGATACCTCATATCTTAGGGACGCGTCAACCGCGGGATGTTGCAAAGAGATACACGTCCGTTATCACGTGTAAATCTCGTTTGTTAGTCCATGTCATCGTTCTAATAACTAATAGAAGTCGATGGAAGAACATCCGCGGAATGAGAGGATCGCGATGAAGCGAGAGGAACATGAATAAGCAGCTTCGAACTTTCGTCGGCAAGCATACTCGCGTGTGGTCGAGAGACCACGACCGGGGCCCTTCGGGGGCAAAAGATACAAAACGCCGGGCACCGGGCGAACCAGGCAAGGCGGCGATGCACACTATGCAACCGGCTGGTCGGTCGACGAACAAGCTAGCCGATCCAACCGGGCATGCCAGTCCGCCCGCCGAAGCGTCGCTCGACGCGCGCCATACCGCTTCTCGTTCGTCATCCCAACGCGAGATTCGTAAGTTCGTGGAATTTCTTCATTTTCTGCAAATTGAAACATCCCCCATCTGACTAATCCGTGAGAAAAACGTAGGAACTTCCAGAGCGCAAACAGGTAAAGTAGAAGATTCGAGACATCACAGATTACTATTTCTGGAATGCGATCAAGTAATTTTGTTTGATACATTCGTTGGAAGTCAAAGATTTGAAATTAGGAAGGATGGAAAGTGATCTCCGGAAACCTTTCTTTGAAATTTGACATTCTGAAGATGAAATTCAGCGCGAATTTTCAGGGTCTCTCTGTTAAACTTATTGAGGACATCACGCTTTGTTTGTACTTTCGAAGAAGTGAAGTGGATTCTATCATGTTAGTCTTATAAAAGAAGAAATATCTTTTATATAATTATCAACATGTGTCTGTCTGCATTTAATAATTATAGAGTTGCCACGAATTTCTCATCCTAAAATTTCATAACTTTTTCCTGAGTTTTAGATAAAATTTCATGTTTTTTCTGAATTTCAATATTTTAAAATTTTTTATTCTGACTTGGAAACTGTTAAATATTTTGTTAAGAGAGCAATTTAACATAGTAATGTAAATTACTGTTAATGCTCGTAAAAAATTACTGTTTGCATTTAATTGTTAAGTTAGTAATATTGCAAAACTACGTAGATGTGATGTACGTATATAAAACTTCTTTAAAATAAGAATTTCAATCTTTTAGAAAATCTCCTGACCTTCCTTGATTTCCCTTACTGTTTTCAATTGCCTTAATTCCTTGATTTCCAGTTTTGTGGCGAACTCTGAATTATACGTGGAAGATAAAAGTCGACAGGCATTAAGCAGCCGCAAGAGAATGCGGCAAATTGAAAATTCCTTGACTTTCTACAAGAACTTTGCTTGTTTAAGGAGGAATTGTCCTTGGCGATACAATGAGCAAGCGTGAGCGTGCCTTTCCTTTTCGTGATGTTCTTTCGTCGTATATCGCGCGATCATGTTGACGTACTTCAATGCGTGGCGAAGGATTTAGGATTCGCTGAGCGACCATTCCTGACAAGGGAATGCCCTCGATCTCGCTCTGATATATCTCGCGAATACAGATTGTACGACCTCGCAAAGATACCGGCGAGGACTCCAGTGGAATGCGAAGAGCGTACGAGCTATCTTTTGGGACCTGTCTGTTAAAATAAAGAAGGCGTATTTTCGTTTCACTGAAAGAAAACTACGATCCAATGGTGATTGCTATACGAATTTCATTTCTATATTTCTTCACTGCAACGCTACGTGCATCGAACCTCGACATGACCTGTATCTGTTTGCGCTCGTCCGTGTCGATATGTCTATAAGAATTTGTACGTCGCCTCTGGCTCGTCTCCCTCAGCCAGAGAGACGTATTAGAAAATTGGAAAGTAATAGAAAACTATGACTCGCCCTCTGTTTCTTCGCTTTTCTACGATCTTTAGAAATTCTTACAATGGCGCACAAGAGATACGACCGTTCAGCTAATTTGCTCGTAACTTCGAAATTACTTGAAAGTCGAACGTTATAGATAAACACGTCTGAACTAGTTAAACTTTTTAAAATTGAGAGATATAAAAGAGAGGAAATAGTCAGAGATAAATATAAAGAGATTCTTACATGATACTTTTGTACCGAGCGATAGAAATTTAAAGGGATATTTATACGATCAGAAATAAATTGTAAATTTCATTCCATTGACGAAATAATATCGATACACAAACGATTGTTTGACTGACGAAATAATATCGATACACAAACGATTGTTTGACATAAATGCGGGTAAATATTCAGCTGAATGAGTCATGTAGTTATACGTAAATTGATAGCGTGTCACTTTATTATTATTTATTTACAATTGCCTCGCGCAGTGCAAATATTAAACAAATTACTCTTCGATAACTGCTGTTATTTCAGCAATTATTTGCATCGCGTTCCACTTTACGTCACATTGCCTTCTGTCGTATTATATTATACGACCCAGTCGGATGTGTTCGCCTCTCGCTTCACCTCTGAAGCTACCACAAATCCAACCGTAAAAGCCACTAAAACGTAGCGGTTTTGGAACACAGCGGGGACGAATGCAAAATGGCAGACGAGGAAATCGGCTAAGCGGTAATCCCCTCTTGCCTAGGCTCTCGCCGAGAAATTCCAGCAGTTAAAAAGTTTACATACAATCTCGCAGACACAACTGACATAAAACCGCCGGTTGAAATTTCGATACGGCTAAACGGGCTACCTTGTAATTCGGGTCAGTGTGGCTCGCCACATTCTCTGTTTCTCACATTCGCGTGGAATCTGTTTCCAACCAGTTTCCACCGTTTTATTAGTTATGGTCCACAAAACTAGATGACCACGTATATATTTCTATACACATCTTTATTATATTGACGCGATAGTTTGTTATTTACGTAAGCGAAGGAAGATATGGGAAAGAGAAAAATAAGTCAACGGTATATAAACAACAGTTATTGCATATTCTGAAAGATCTCACTGAATCGGATGATTTAGGACAATAGTAGCTACAATATTTTGCCGTCTACATTGGCGCAATTGTGAAATGTTGATGGTAATTTAACTCGTGCTGTCGATGATAATATTTTCTTCTCCTCCATGCCAATCAAATCCACTCGATGTATTCCGTGTATAATTGCAAAATTAATCCATCGCTTTGCTTTCTCTAACAAAAGCCTCGTCCTCTCATTTCTCCATCGTGCGAAAGCTCACGCGATACCTTGAGCAATCCTCGCAGCCCCGTAACGTAACAATTCCATATGTCACAGCTCGATTACACTTGCGTTGTTTGCGTGTGTGGCTAACAAACGATTGCATGCCTCGACAGAGTAACATCAGCTCCCTGAGAGCGGATGCCAGCGGCAGGCTGGTGACACAGGCTGGCGCATCCGGGCTGGTGCGTGTCTCCGCCGGCGAGCTCCTCGGCAGGACCCACGAGGAACTGGTGCTACTGTTGATCCAGCTTCGACGTCAGAATGCGACGGTCCTCAAGGCGATGGAGACGTGCCACATGGAGATCGAGGCGCAGGTCCGAAGAGAACTTTTGCACGCGATCTCACGAAATTTTCACAGTAATTAGATGATCCACGGACGGTGACGGTGACGATGACGATGGCGGTCGTGGGCCCCTTTAGGGGTCCTGGCAAACCGAAGCCGTCTGGAGAGACACGTCGTAGGCTCCTCGAGCTCGAGGGGCGTCGCTTTTTAATGATTGCTTTAATTTGCGTTAGAGAGAAAGAGAGAGGAAGAGAGAAAGAGATAATTTGCTTTGACAGACGATCGTGCAGTTTGACGAGATCTTTCAGGATGTGTTAGAATAGATCGATTGTAAATGCACGCAGATTGTGAATCCACGTGACGATAATATAGTATGAGTGATCAATATTGTTCTTTTCTTTCATAGTTGACAATGTGACGTAACGCTCGCGCGCAAATAAACGGATTGAACGTATTCAATTGCGCTTTACGGACTTTGCGATCCGCAAAGTGTAATTGATTGCTAAGCAAGCGCGATACATTGGTTCTTTCACGTCTTATATTTAGCTCCGAGTCTCAACTCGGAGCTTCATGGACTATTGGACTAAAAAAAATCACTTCTCTTTCTTTAAAGAACATTATCAGATGACTATGTTCAACGTCAAATGTGGGACATAGATGAATATACACCTGTGATCTCGTGACGTGTGAGATTCGAGGAGAAAGTCGAGTCGAACTTAGGGTCGCCTTTCTACGCAAATATGTGTTTATTGTCCGGCTTTATTGCGTTGTATGTCATGAAGTAACGTGTCGCTTAACGCGCGAAAACGCAAATGTTGTTTGTTTTGACGCGGAGAGCAAAGGAACCTCTGCAATAAACGCGATAAACGTTTCGTGTATTTTGTTTGCACCCGCAGGCTAGACTGGCAGATCTCGACACGCCGAGACGGTTAGAAAATCTTCAAAAACTCGAGGAACTCAAGAGGCATCTAATGGATCTCGAGAAGCAGGTGAGACACGTGAAATATACCTTGCGGAGGTTTACCTCGAAATATTTACATAGATATGAAACGATGGATTTTAGCAATCAATAGCTTAGAAAAAGAATAAATAACTTAACTTTGAAAAGATTTGAGATTATAATTTTTTCAAATTTTAAAAAGTGGCTAAATTATTGTCGTATTTTTCAAACTTAATTCTTCTCTAACTTTTGATAACGTTCATTAATATAAAATTTTAAAAAATATTTAATTAATACTGTTAATTAATACTGTTTCTAAGCGTTAGTACACATTGTATTACACATTAACATTTATATTGCACATTAAAAAGTACTTTAAGTTTAATCACGTTCGATTTTTCCCAAAAAAAAGTACGAAAAGAGTAAGCCTCTCGTGAACCTCGTGGACAATATGGTGAAACTGGGTTCTTTATATAATCGTAACACTGCCAACGGGACCAGCAATGTTTCCGGTTCTCGACACGATCTGCACGAGAACGCGAGGGATCATCGCGACCGTTTGGAATTTAACCAAAGGGTGCAGGAGCAGCGATTGTTGGCCGAGGAACGTAGGGATTGGGACAGGTTGAGTCCCGATCATGGACAGTTGCAGGTGATTCATTTAATTATCATTCCACAAAAAAGTTTAATTAATGTGGATAAACGTAATAGAAATCATTGTTAATTAGGATTCTTAAATAATTCTTATACTTTCGCAACGTTAGAAACGCATTAATTAAAAATATACGATCTTATAAACGGAATGTCTCGATTTACAGTACATATATTCTTTGCTTTCTCAATCTCGTCAGATATCATCCATGAAATATACGTTTTACCCGTTCCAATTTCTGTCTCTTACGTCTCGTATTATTACATTCTCTTTCCACAATGTAATACTCCGTGCTAAGAAAGCGTGAGGTGCATCAGACATGGAAATCTTCTTGACCAATGAAAGCAATTCCTGATCTCTCGCGTGCTATAATACTAAGCGAAATCCACGGTAGACAAGTTGTAAAGGCCGATTGGAAAAAGAGTATGTGCAAAAATTAAGAATTACTCTCGCAGACTCAACCACAAGAGAGACCGAACTCGGACGACATTTACGACCTCTCGTAAATTCTGCGAAGAGCTCACTTTACCGAAGGATATATACTTTCTAGACGAGTCAAGTCTCTAAGGACAATGTCCATTTAAGTATCTTACTTTTCGTTTCCTTCTTCTTATTATTTGTCCTCAAGACTCACTTTTCAACAATCGCATATGTCGTTCACCGGTCAAAATTTAATTAAGCATATATTTAATTAAGAATAACAAAATTAATCCAATTTGACACTTTTGTGCAGTCTTACAAATACATTTCCGTGCGATAAACAAATAAAAAATAAATAAAAACGAACGAGAAAGGTAATGAAGAACCTTTTTACTCTTTTGCCTTTCTTTTTCAGTAATATTCAATTTAACTAATTATTACAATAATAATCTCGTTGACTTCAAAGAGGTTTAAAATAATTGCTATATAGAGAAGTATAATAGATACTATAATAAATTAAAATTATGTGTCACACTAAAGAATATTATCGAATATAAAATCAAAATAATAATATTATCGAACATAATATTGTTAAAATTAAAAGGTTTCTTTGACCAATATTTTTCGCACGTTACTCGCGAAAGAATTTCATTTACGGACAGGAATAGAGATAGGGTGTTGAGAAAATAGAGATTCTGGAACGTTGTTCTAGAATTAACGATGGCAAATCTCCTTTTTCTCTGAGATCTGCTCCAATTGAAACATTAGCTTGTCCTTTGAACAGCGAAACTTGAAGGTTTCGTCGTTCACTCGATATCCTTTCTATGTCATAGGCCAAAGTGCAGCAGCTCTACAAACTCGATCGACTGCTTCAGGAGGAATCTGGCACATTGCATAGTCTCCAGCAGGACAAGGTTGGTATGAACCTAATAATGACCTAATAATGACTTAGAATAAAGTCTTTAAATTGCTCAAAAAATTTGGCATATGTTTTAAGAATGCAATTATAACGATCTTCCACCAAACTGATGAATGTACGAAAGCCATCCAAGTTTCTTCTAGAAGAAATATATTCTATAATATTTTTGAAGATAATTCTATCGAATTTGACTTTAAGCTTCAAGAGTTCCGAGTAATCTCACCCATACAAAGACTCGATATGATATCTATTATATCCTTCACAATTTAGAGGAGAATCGATGTCGTTATTTGCTTGAAACTAAAACGATATAACAATAAACTGCGAAATGACAGGAGCTGTCCTTAATTCCAAGATATAGAAATCTACAATATCACATTACACGCCTGATCGACTTAATGCTCGCAGGAAATACTCGAGAAAGCTTTGGGCGGGTTGCGCCACAAACTGCAAGGTAGCAGAAGCAATTTGGCCGAAGCGGAGCGATATCGGAAGCAGCAACTCCTGTTGGAACGCGAACTGAGCAGAGTGAGGATACTGCTCGCCCATAACTCGAAGGTAGATAATTTCGAAAATGTATACCGATGACAGCCGCTAACACGCGCTTCCGCCTTCCTGCATCCCGATTGATCCATACGTGGAACAAATCTATTAAAAATCAATGCAAAACTGATTGGCAGAAAAACAAGTAAATTGCGCGTCAATCCGGATTTCAAAATGCGAGTAATTGCTGTACGTAATTCTTCGTATGTTTTTTTAACGTCGTGAAACGTATTGAATATTCCAACGCGCTTCATTGTTGCCGATGTTTCTGCTAATAGAAAATTTTTTGACGATACGAAGTAACTCGTTTATCAATGAATATTTGAATTTGAAGTGAACGTCTGCTTCATCATTTTATCGTGCTTTTATTAAGTTTGTCTTTTATTATTCTTTGCCAATCTGAATTCGCGATATCGCGAAAATAATAATAATACAAGAAGATAGTAGCACGAGAGAATGTAAATGACGAGAGTAGATTGTATTACGTATTGTAATTAAAGTCTCGATTCACTGTTTCCAGGTAAAGCCGGTATTTTTCCAGGTAAATTGCATTATTCACAACATTATACCATTCAGTTCCGTCATTCGCTGTTTAGTTGCCATTCTCGTAATGTGATAGTCGGCTAACGGTCAAAGTCGCGCATTCTTTTAATCTGGTAGTCCGCAACTCTCTCACGTGCTTTCAGAAACTTGAGGAAACGGTCGCCGAGAACGCGAGATTGGAGCAAGATTTGGTGGTATTGAGGCAAAAGGTGCAAGCATCCAGAAGATATGCCGGTAACGTCGCGAGGGACACTTCGAGCACGACCGCACCGCTAGAAGCGGAATTACGACGAGTACAACAACTCGTCGGCGATCTGCAGAGACAGAGGAAGGAACTGAGCATTCAAGTTCGCCAACTGACAGAGAAATCTCATAGTTTGGTGCAGCAAATTCGCCCGCAGCCACCGCACGGTGAGTCTAACAATTTAAGGAAACCATCAAAAATTTTCAAAACTTAAGAATTAATATTGACTCAAGATGACTCAAACTTAATCAAAGACTGCAAAATTCATATTGTAATAAACTGTCATTATTAATCAAAATTTATTATTACTCTATTATAATCAGGCTCATCCAATAATTGGCTCGCGAGGTAAACGCTTCCGCCTTTCCAGTGTCTCATTGAACGAGATAGAAAGGAAACAAAAAGGTGTACGGGTCTGGGCAGAGTTCTAGTGTTTATTTTTTTTTATTTTCTCTCTGTTTCGCTCAATAAGACAATGGAAGAGAGGTGGGCAAAACATTAGACAGACCTAATCTAAATAAATTAACATAAAAAGATTATTTTAATCAGTAATATATTCATAATGCTTATCCTTGTATACATTCATACAAATATATATTGTAAATAAAATAGTATATTACATTTATTGATTATTTGTTAAACATCGGGATTAACATCGTTAATATCGAGATGTATATTTTTCACGAAAAAAGAATGATGCTTAAAAGATACAATTTTCTCCTTAGCTCCTCAGGTGCATCATTCGAAGAAACGTACGCAAAATTCTTGGTTGGAAACTGATTTAGATTCCGGAATAACCCTGGACCATGGTTTAGACTCACCGTCGAGTCCGTCTTTGTCTATCTCACCTCCGAATAAACAAAACGATAGCTCCCACCAACGATACAGCTCTCCTACCCAGTACAAGGACTTATCCCCATTGAATCGCCCACATAATCAGCAATCCTTTGTACAACCCTCACAAAATCACATATCTACGCTTTCGCCACAGCTGCGCGAACAAATTCAACAACACCAATTAAAGCAACAATTATTGAAAGACCAAATGCAGGGCAAGGGTAACGTGATTCAAGTGGTGCCTCTGTATGTTAATACGGATTCAAGAGTAGCAGGTAATATTCTTGTTGGATTATGGTGAAAATTCATCCTATTAATGTCATCAATAATGTTATGTTGTTATTAATAATGTTCACGTGTATTAGATAAATAACAATTAATAGCAATTAGCGTAGTCACAAGATATTCTGATATTCAAGTATCGATTTGTATTTTTAACGCAAGGTGATCATATTGCCGACACGAGCAAACATAACGGAAATATAATGAATGGTACGCTAAATCCTGCTCCGGAATATATCCCGCCACCGCCGCCCCCTTTGAGCGAGGAAGCATTGTTGTTGAATGATAATTATAGACAAAACGAAGACAACAAATTCGCCGGTAAGTCGCCCGTTCCACTGCGGAAACATTATTAAGCCTGACATACATCGGAAATTTTATTCTTCTCTTCGTGCCTTTGCAGGATTAATGCACAATCGCGAGAAACAAGAAATTAAAACGGTGCGCATAGTGAAACGCGAATCGGAAAGGCGACAAAGAGATCGCGGTGACAGAACCAGCAATCTTGGAATTCCTCTGACGAACGGCCTCCAGGCACCAGGCGGTGCGAAGAGATTGTCCGATGATGATTTCGGAGGCTCCCAAAAATTCGAAGTAAAATCGTTTTCGATTACGCCTTTTCAAATACACTGAAAAAAAGATTTACTAAATCTTAATATTTCTTCGAATAGTACTAAGTAAACATTTACTTACAGTAAATAAATATTTATTTACTCAATAAAAAGTGTAATTAAATCACACAAATTAATTTTTTTTGTATCAAACAAATACACGTTTACATTTAGTAAAGATTTACTTAGAACTATTCTAACAAATATTTATTAAAACTTAGAATTTTTTTCAGTGTAGTGAAATCTAATAAAAAAAAAACATCAATTTCTTTAAACTTATACTAATGCAGATCTTTTAACATCTAGAAAGCTCAGCTTGGTAGAGTAGTGGAGGAATCGCCAATTGTTCACGCGCAGAGCACGGTTCAGCTGTCCGAACTGGACGATGTTCAATTCCAAAGAAGCATGTCTCTGCCACGTGGTTTCGGCGGGCAAAAACAGCAGACTGGAGTACACTATGGACCCGTGGTACCTCCACCGCGAAGCGACAGTATGCATGCCCTGAAGAGCATGATGGCACGTCGGCATAAAATTAGGGTAAGTACTGCCAATAATTAATTTCGATACCTAAAAAACACAATTCCAGGTCACCTCTCAGATCATTCCGTATAACAAAACCTTACTTCCGCACATTTATTGATATATAGTTTTGCGAATATTATTGCGAATATTATAATTTTATTCTACTCCGAGCATCCTGACGCTCGTCTCGCTCGTCCATTTTTGTTAATCCTTTCGATCCCGGCATTTTACAATTTTTTTTGACGCTCCATCGCAGTTCGAAAGTCATGACGGCAGCTCCGATAGCACTCTGTCACCGTACACGGATAGTCCTACGTCCAGCTCTCACATGCCAATGAGCTCTCCCAACTATTCAACCGCCTCGTCGTACAGCCCGTGCCAGAGCCAGAATTATCCGTCGCAAGCGACGATGGTCGCCGCGCAGTCTCACTATAACAACTACTCGCTTGGACCGTACAGGCAATACGAGAAAATCGGCACTCTCGCGAGTGCCATGAGCCCCGAATTAACATCGCCGACTAACGTCGGCATTCACGAGAGACCGACTACCGCAACGAGGGCGAACACAAACCAATCTGATTCGCCGCAATTGTCGCCAGTGTTCAAGAGCGAGGCTGCCAAACAAATTATCAAAGAGATGACGGAGAAGAGGGTGGAGGGACCGAGACGAAGGCAGATTCCTCGCGAGAAAAGGCGGCATTACACTGTGTCTAGTAGCAAACCAGTGCTCGATCTAGAGGATACTTTCTCGAAGATGGTATTTTTTGTTTCATTCAATTTCTGTTTCTCTCTTATTTCCCTATCTTCGTCTACCTCTGTCTCACTTTGTCTATTTCCTGTTCACTGACTTTCATCTGCTGCGCTGTGCCGTACTATTGCCCATCATGGTAGTTTCGAAAATCCTGATTTTTCGCTTTTACGTTACGAGAATCTTTGATAATTTCTAGGGCATGGGTAGAGCCAGGGACGATCTGGACATGGAAAGAGCGCTCAGACCCAGGATAAATGCTCCTGACGTGGTGCGATCAACATTAAGTCACAAGGAGTTGAAATATAACGAGAGTACTATAGACCAGCTGTTAGGCACGCCTAATAAAATTGTCATTCCCGAGAGATATATTCCTGAGCAGGTATTTATACTCATTAATTTCTTTAAATTAAATTTCATAAAAATCAATTTAATTACACTTGCTTTTAATATAAATTTAATATAAAAGATCGGAAAGATTATATGTTAGAAATTTGTATCGTGAAAAAGATAATATATTTTATTTTATTATTTATATAGAATTTTTCGATATATTGGAAAATTATATGTATAAATAATATAATTGAATCATTATTGAAATTAAATTAAACTGAATTAATTGAATTCTAAATATATGTTATTATATTTTTATTATGTATGTTATTATTTTTCCAGACGCCGGAGCTAACAGCAGAAGAACAAGAGCAACGCTTAAAAAAGGCGGAAGCAATTAGGAAAATGCTCTCAGAGACAACCGTAACTGCACCGGAAGGAGGTGGTATGCAATATTTTTTTTCTCCAATTATTTACCATTTTTGGTGACAATGATTACAAAAATATACACCTGATTTCAGATGATGATTCTAACATAGAAAAATCAGACACCTTGAAACGCAAAGTAGTGGAAGAAAAACGGCAGAGGGAACACATTCTCCAACTTAATCAGATACTGGCGAAACAAGTAATGGAGAAAAGTAAAATGGTAGCGGGTACGTGTCGATAATACTCCAAGTACGATCGCTGCATGATTGTAATCGTTTTTACGTACAGCTATGGCAGCATGCTCGTTTCGTTTAGCTTTCAAAAAGAAAAAAAAACGTATTTCTTTACCACGCTCGATCAATGATGAGTGCAGTTTCACATTTTCTATATTGCTATGGTACAATGATTTTTATTTTTCTATCGCTTAGGTGTTCTATAATATCGCAAACACCTCGTCACTAGTCACAATCTTTCACGACAGCCAATCAAAAGTGTCAATAATTAGTATGGACGCAATTCTGTTAGGTTATCGCAAAGCATTGGTGAGCACGGAGTGTTTGTGACACATTGTAGAACGTCCTTTACAGAAACTCGGTTTAACGTCATTGTCAGTGTTCATTCGGTGCTCATTTGAGCAATTTACATTATATTGTGCATACGTTCACATAATCTTCTCACAAATGCGAACACGCATGTATTACTTTAGTTATATGCTATTTTTATACGATTTTATTAATAGCTTTCGTTCAAGACAGCGAATACAGTCTCGTCTTAGGGAGTATGAATTGTTGTTTGGATTGTTTTGTGCTTGTGTGTGTATAGGTAACCAGGCACACTGACCGACATGCTTACTCCATCCCTCCCTATAGGACACGCACGTCACATTATCATTTTCAGGTTTGTTTTTTCATCTTTTTTTTCCTTCGTTTTTTTTTCTTCTATTTTTTTCCTCCGATCAAGCTAAGCAGATACAACCGCAATATTACTTCCATCGATATACGTTTATTGAAAGAATAGAATAACTATTGTGTAAAAAATAATAATTCACAGGAATAGTCGAGATATAAATGATATAAATGATAATAAATAAAAATATATAATAGTAAAAGCATTGAAGATAACAAGACTGCATTTCAATAAACGTATTAATTTATAATTTATAATTGCTTCATTATGTCTCTCATTCATCAACAGTGAAAGCTCTAGCAACGCTTCCTCTGAAAACTGAATCAAGCTTGGATGATGAGGATCTCTCGCCTGTGGCTCCTTTACCACTTTATCAGCAAAGAGAAAACTTCTATTCCTAAGCATCGTTCCAAGAATACAAACAGAAGCACAAAACTACTGCCAATACCAAGAACAAGAAAGAAAAAGAGAAAGGGAACTTTTTTCTCAACGATTAGTTAAGAAAATGGAAGTTCATGCAACATACTGAGGAAGTGCTTTTTATTTGTGCACTGATTACATTGTATATATAATGATTGACTAAATAATACGATATAATATAAGTAATTGTCATTATTTGTTATATATGATAAGAGCTCGTAACGTACAAGTACACACGAAAAAGCGTATGAGGAAAGCGCAGACGGCAACTGCGCGATAGAAAGGACTATCAATGCATTATCAAACGAAGCTCATCCCTTTTTAAACACTAAATCGAACAACATCGCGACTTACTGTCATTTTTTACTAATTCAGGCGTTCGGTCGATCAATAACAAATCTGGCGAACGTCAGACTTTACCCGCGACTAATCTAATACGCTTCCGGGCGATATATTCCGGCTTTGGAGAAACCTTTACCGCGTCTCTTCGCAGATCGAAAGTTCTTTTTCGAAAGTTTTCAAATCGCGTATTTATAAGTATAAGAGACTGTAAAACCCATCTGACTGAAAATCTGGTTTGGATATCGTTATGTCCTTTCCCGTTTTACGTACAATCATTTTCACGAGGCAAACTTTTATATATAATATGTCGACAGACGAGACTTGCGTATCCTCGCCGAAGTGTCTGTGAGTGAAATGGTACCATTAGATTTAATGGCGCGGAGAAGATTCTTCATTTTCAGCGGCGATAAACAAAAGTATGCGATTGTAACGCGTCAAGCAATGAGACGAAATTGAAATGAAATGGGCTTCTTATAATAAGCTATTACCTAAGCTTTAAGTTTTAAACTGTAATAGGTTTTCTACATTTAATCATTATCTAGGTTTAAATCTTAAGCCATAAGAAATTAATCAATCACAGTTGAATGTAAGAAAAATAATTGACTATAATTGACTATAATTGATCAATTTCGCTTTGCTTAAAATTTAAAATTTAAAATTTAAAGCTTGGATGACTTATTGTGGAAAGTCCATAAAAAATTGACCATAGTTAATTGATCATAGTCGATTATTCTTTTCACATTCAACTGTGATTGATCAATTTCTTATATAAGACTTAAGGTTCTTCATCAAAGCCATAATGAGGCATCAGAAATAAGAAATGACACTTTAATTTTTATTATGAATCATTTGTAAATGAAAACAATTTGAAACAAAATAATGAGATCGTTTTAAAACAATTGTAAAAATAGATGAAAGCTATTCTTATTCCCCCTGACAGTTAATAATCGTAAAAAGTAATAAAAGGCACGTAAAGTATTTTTAGTCAATACACATGCATAGTCTATTTTCACTTTTACGTGTGTTTTATCAATTTTTACGATTATTTACTGACTGTCAGGGGAGGATAAGATAATAGTTTTCGTTCATTTTATTTTCAAAACGTTTTAAAGCGATCTCGTTATTTTATTTTATCCAAATTGTCTTTATTTGATACATAACGTGTCCTTTCTCGCTTCTGACGTTATGATTCAATATGTGACGACTATCCAAGAGTCTTAAGAGTCTCCAGGAGACTTAAAGCTTAGGTAATAGCTTATTATATTATAGAAAGCTCATTATAGTCATTAAAGAAAACAATCGTGCTAAAATCGAGCCTTTCTAGATTTTATTCGCCGAACTTGGCGAAAAAGCAAGTGTGTGAATTACCATGTAAACTAGATTATAAGAAATTCACGGTACATATATACAGTACACACGCTTCTGAAGCGTCCGTTGCTATTAACATTATATACACGATTTTTCATGGGCCATTGTAGTATGGCGTTTTAATGTTTAGAGCAGTTGTCACACATAAGAGAAGAGTGCCAAATTCCTATCGAGCGATTAAATAATCGTCAATTAAAAAGAATCGCCGTACCGATTGATGCAGGATACGCTGGAGCATTTGTTATGTAAAAGTAGAAATTACGGAAAAAAACGATCATACACGAGATATATATATATATATATATCTTATATTACTTTTAATTAGTTCGGCTTGATTTTTCAAGTTTTGAATTTAATATCGCGATATTACTTCGTCTTTTAATATTATTACTGTATCCCTTCAGCGCCGAGGTGCAATTTTGGACACAGTCTTAAATGTAATTTACATTCAGTATATAAATAAATATATA